ATGGCAACATCAAGTCGATAGTGTTACCATGCTTGAGATTGAAACTTGAGAAACAAATACTTATTGTTACTAGCTGATTTTACATGATGTTTCAGGATATGCACAAAAAAAAAGAGAAAGCTAACCCGAACTTGCTGGTTTTAAGCAGATGAAATTAGACAATTCATCGTAGAAATTTATTTGTAATTGATAAGTATATTGATATTGTGTTGCTTCTTCATATTTTCTGTCATTTTCTTTTTCTAATAATCGTTTTGTTTCTAGATTGTCAGCTCATTATTGTTTACGATTGTTAATGATATTTCAATAGAAAAAAATTGTTCTATATAACTGATTTTATGAATTTTTTTCCAGCACTTGACTTAACCCTTAAAAGTCGAAGAGACTTTTTCTTACAACAGGAGGACGCTAATCACAAAAATAGAGATTATGGACTCTCAATATACTCATACTATAGCTAAAAAGAATTACTTTGCTCTTCTTTCAGAGTTACGCAAGGTCCTTTGGCAGGAATATCTGGCCTTGTAAAAATATGAAAGATAGGAATTTCGGTCTGAAATTTTGTCAATAAATAGGTTTCATAATTCTTGACTTGCTCTTAAAATTTCACTCAAAACGGATGCTTTCTTGTTGAGATATTTGATACCTAAAAAATTGGTCACATTTTGCAAAAAAAGCGCTAAAAACGACTTTTCTTCAACATTCTGTATCTTGAGAAGGAAATGACTAGAGCCCGACAAGTTCAGCTCAAGCTCACTCGTAATGAGCTGTTCGAAAAGCTCATTTGAACGAACTGAGCTATTCGAACAGCTCATTACGAGTGAGCTGAACTGGTCGAACAGCTCACTTGAGCGAACTGAGCCTTGAGAGCAGTTCGTTTCAAATGAACTGAACTTTCTGAACAGCTCTTCCCAAATGAACTGAGCTTCAGGTTTAAACAGATACTGTCTTATACGGATACTCTTGGGTTCTCAAGTCCTACTATTGGAGATACCCTTGGCTCAAGTCCTAGTTTTGGGGAGTATCCTTAGGTCCCCAAGTCCTATTGGGTTGGTAAGAAATTTTTGTTGTTTTTTTTTGAAAATTTTCTTTTTATTTTTTAATATCAAGAATACAACAAGCTTTCAACAATGTATGCACCATGACTATCTATGACTTGTTCCCAACGCTCTGGTAGAGAAAGGGTCCCGCGTTCGTAGAAGTCCTGCGACTTTTGGCCAAAGACGTTGAGGACGTCCATTTCCAGGTCGTTTTCGTCGTCGAACTTTTCCTCCTTCAAATGGTTAGAAAGAGAACGGAACAAATGGTAGTCCGTAGGAGCCAAGTCTGGAGAATAAGATGGATGTGGAACCGTAACCCATCCGAGCTCCAATAATTCTTCACGCGTCGATTTTGCAATATGGGGTCTGGCATTGTCATGCAAAAAATAAATTCTATCCTGCTTCCCCTGAAGTTTTGCCGCAACCCGATCTAATTGCTGACAACAGAAATCAGCAGTGATAGTGCAATTATTTGGAAGAAGTTTCCAATGAATAATCCCTCTTACTTCCCACCAAACGCTCAGCATAATCTTCTTTTGGTTAAGGTCATCTTTGGATATTGCTACACCTTTTTGTCCAGCTCCCAGCCACTGCCGCTTGCGCGTGTAGTTAACATACAACACCCACTTTTCATTGTCGGTAATACGATTGTAAAGCCATTGGTAGTTGTGATGAGACGTCATTAATTCCATACAAGCATCAACTCTGTGTTGGAGGTGATGTGGTGACAAATCATGTGGTATCCAAGCTCCACATTTCAACGTTTTGCCTAATTCGTGCAGATGTGTCTCCACTGTAATATGAGAGCACCCAAGACGCTCTGCTAAACACCATGTAGTCAATCTAGGATCTTCTTCGATAAGCTCCTTTAAGAGATCCATATCCATCTCTAGTGGTCTTCCAGTATGAGGTAAACCATCGAATTCGAAGTTACCGTTCTTGAACTGATTGAACCAACGTTGCGCTGCACGAATGGAGAGCGCATCCTTGCCCATAGTATGGCATATGTTGCTTGTTGCTTCTGTTGTTTTGTGACCCAGACGGAATTCATGAAGCAGAAGAACTCGGAGCTCTCTACGAGATATCTTCATTTCTAATTCGAGATCAGCATGTATATCCATAGTTTTATTCTTGTTCGAAAGATATTTACACTCCCTTTATATACCTTTAGTATGGAAACTGCTAGAACTTCCTTGACTGTTCTAGGAAGTTACGAAAAAAAACGACAAAAATTTCTTACAAACCCAATATTACTGGAAGACAAACAAAAAGCAAAACGTTGAATTCACTTTTTATTATCATTTTTAAAAGTGCTTTATATGAAGTAAATTAAGTTGCATATAATCGTCCAAGTACATCGATCGTCATTATTAATTTTCCATTAGATGTTCGAACAGAGGGTGTAGGTGTGGGTATCAAATTCTTCACAGTAACACGCACACCCACACACTTCTCAGGGTTTTTGTACTAAATTGTGCCTTGAGGAAAAATACAGATCAAATTATGATGGTAAATCTTTTTGACGAACTATAGGTTATTCGCCGCAGTTACTTATGCTGATTGCGAATACTGTACCCAACTGATCGATAAGTAAGGCGTTTGCCGGAACAACTCCGAAGTGTACCCTCAACTTTTAGCTTTTTGGTCATCCAGAAGGGAAAAGTGAATTTTCTCAATAATGCTAAGGAGCTAAGTTAAGAGCATACGTAACTTTTTTCCTATCGATCTGATGGTTCGAATGCTATATAAAAAATAGTTTCAGCTCTTAAAGTAAAAAAGGAGACAGCTTTACAAAGTGAGGCTATCCATAAAATCCAAGGTGGATCTTGCTAAGCCAGCTAAATGTCATGAGATTGATCAAATTTCATCAAATTGATCTAAATACCGCAGTTTTATATGCTTGATTTAAATAAAATACTTTTATTGGAAAAGTCTAATCTAACAATGGAGGTGTGTGTATTGATGAGCGGAAAAGTGGCACATGATCGGATCAAATGAAAGCTTTCAACGCCAAACTAACAAGGTTAAAATATTAGCTGCTGTTGGCTTGCCTAGAGGGAGATATTTAACTTTTAAGTGTAGGTATAAAAATGAATCAGGAAAGGTTTTCTCCACTATTATAAGGACAAAACATAGTGTTGTTTGGGGCGATTAGGGGGTTTGTAGGGATCCTCTTCCATATGGCCCGAACAAACTATGTTCTGTCCTTACAATAGTAGAGTGAATTTTTCCTGTAGGTCATGGAAACGGCATTTTCTATCAATCACTAGAAAAATTCACTCCGCTATTATAAGGACAAAACATAGTGTTGTTCGGGCCGATCATAGGGTTTGTAGGGTCCCTCTTTCATATGGCCCGAACAACACTATGTTTTGGGTGTGGGTGGGGTGTTTGTGGGTGTGGGTGGGTGTGTGTGGGTGTGTGTGAGTGTGGGTGTGTGGGGTGTGGATGTGGGTGTGTGGATGGGTGTGGGTGTGGATGGGTGTGGGTGTGGGTGTGGGGTGGGTGTGAGCGGGTATGCCTGTGTGTATAGATGTAGACGCGTGTGTGTGGGTGAATATGAATGTGGAGGTGGGGGTGGGGGTGAAGATAGGGTTTCCAGGTGAGCGTCGATCGTCTCTTCATGTAAATCCACACACTGACATGCACATCCACACGCACACGCACACGCACACCCACACACTCACCCACACTCACACCCTAATCGTTCTCATTATACAATAGATTTTACTTAGGGTGTATTGAGCTGGTGAAGACTGAAGCGAGTTTTTATTCATTGTGCTACAGTCTCGTTCCCAGAACGATCAATGACATTCTTTTTCTTTGTTCCATGGCAAATAATAAAAAAATATGTAATTGCGCACAGAAAGTGTTTGCTTTGCTGTGTTTTTTTCTATCATTTCGTGCTTTTCTTTTGGCTCCAGTTCTATAATACTAGTGTTTCGTGTTTTTCTACTATTTGACTTGTCTATTTTTTCTTATACTAATCGAGAAGAAAAAAAGTAAAGTTAGAAAAAAAGCCTCAAATTAATGCGCAAGTGTTCTTATTCTTTCAGAGCAACAACATCACTTGATAGGCAGTAGGGTCACTAGAAGTTACTGTTCTATTGCACTCGTTCAGCATAATTATAAGATTTTTCGAGTAGATACGATTTGAACTGAACTGAACCTGAATCCGAAAACTCCGGTTCGTTTCGGGCTCTGCTTTGAATCAATTTTTTATAAGTCAGGTTTTTCTTAATGAACTGCTTTAAACTATATACATGTTTGCTACTCTTTGGCGAGATAATAATAGAATGGAATACTCAAAACATATTGTGAAAATGTTTACGAAAAGGATATTTTACATGATGCACTCGCTTTTATCAATTTTTTTATGTGCGTTGAATGCTACAAATAATTTTAGTTGATGAATCAAATACACTGCTCTATAGAGTTTAAGGGAAGTCTTTGAATGAAAATGAAAACAGCATGACCTAGCCTATTAAGCCATCTGATGAGACCCTTAAGTAAGGTCGAAACCGATCATGGCTACTTATTCTTATGGAAACCAATTTAATGTCCCAGTAACTGGGTGTAACCAGATATAAGTTATAAGCTATTGACTCTTTATATTTTCTAGTAATATTTTCCTTTACCTAATCATTTTTCAAAAACAGTTGTTTTCTTCAAATCAGAAACGTGTTAAAAGCCGAAAGGAACTTGATTTACATCTCCTTAAACATACCTTAAATCTTTTCTTCAACATCTCCTAAAATATCGATGACTCTAATCTTTTCTTAAATTCTCTTAGAGATGAAATAATCTAGTCGAACGTACATTAAGATAAAGTTGATTAGTTAACATTTGAACTGTTCTTTGACATTGCATATTTTCCTAGTTTGTCGGTCATCTGACTGTTATTTCGAGAAATAAGTAGACAACCGCACTTATTCATGCCATAGTTACAATCACAGCTATTTATTTAATCATAAAGACAAACTACCATAGAAAAAAAAAATTAACAAATGATCAATTTATACAAATATTAAAATCATATCAGAGGATAGTAGGTTTCGTCAATGTACAGCTACTCGAGCATGATTGTTTTAAAGTCCGCTGGCAGAACTATTTCGAGCAGCTCACAATCATCGGAATAACCGACAACAGCATGTTTAATGCATGGAGGTTGGATCCAGCAGGAGCCTGTCAACATAGTAATTGTTCCCTGTCCTTCAAATTTTGACTTTATCCAGCCTTTGAGCACGTAGATCATCTGGAAATCGACTTCATGATAATGCAACTTCGATACCACCTCAGGACGAAACGGTGGAATAAAGCGCATAACATGGGCCATAACCATGCCATTAGTTGCTTTTGCGATCCCAAGATTGCGATATTTTGCATACGATCGTAGTCCATCGCTCTTGAAGCTCTCTTCATTCAAATGACTGAAGGTAAATTCCTGTGTTGGTCGTGATTGAGTTAAATTAGGTGATTTAGAATCATCATTTAATTCTATTATAACGCTATCATTGGTATCAATAGGCCTTGTTTTAATGATAATGAATTTATCAATAGTCTTCTGAAGATTGTGCAATGTTTGTTCTAGTTGTTCAAGTTCTTCACGAGTTGCATGACCTTTCACTTGTAATTGAAGAAGTACATCTTTTGTATCAGATATTATTTTCTCTTGTTTTGATTTATGTTCTTCTATGATTGTTTGAAGATGAATTCGTTTTTGTTCATAAACTTGATCAATAATATGATAAGTTTCAGTTTTCCATCGTAAAAGTTCATCATATAAATTTGTTGTGTCAAAATGTTGAATTTTAATTGATAGTGGATCAACTTGATGAGCTAATTGATTAATTTTATCTAATATTGATTTTTCATCTGTAGATAAATGTTGTAATGTTGTTGCCATAACTAAAATAAATATCTTAGTATCTGTTGAGAGTGCATGAAATTTTTAAAAAACGATCGAAATTTTATATAAACTTTTAAATTGTCTAAAATGTCAACATGTAGTCCTATCGGAAGAAAGGAAGTCTGAGAACAAGTGAAATTCTACTTTTATCTCAATAATCAGTAGTAGATTTTCCAGTGAATGCTATCTAATAGAATTAAATTGTGGTATCAATTGTTATGACACAAATGTAATAACGTGCGATGAAAAAAGTAGTAATTGCCGAAATCTTCAGTCATGGTTCTCCGCTCAGAAACGTCGAAGAAAGTAAATTTCATTTTTATCAGAAAGAGCGTCTTCTGAGGAACGAAAATGATAGGTAACAAAATTTTTGGAATTGAATTTGAGTGGAAAACGATCTCAATATCAGTCCTTTAGGTTTCTGACCATGTTCTTTAACTTTTTTTAAAGTTTAAGTCATATTCGGAAAGAGCGTTAAAAACTATGTTTTTGATGGAGTGTGCGCCTAAAAATGGCTATTTTTAGGTCCGTTTGACATGGCATGGATAGAATAAACAATTCTATACACGCCTGTGTGTCTTTCAGGGTTCCACACCATGATAGTACGCTAGCTAAGATCAAAAAATTAAAAGATGTCAAAAAAAAACCTCTTATCAAAATTCATCAATTTTTTCTATTTCTTGACCTTTTTAAGCAAAAGTAATGTGAAATTTGGAATCAGCATCGAATTCTTATTCTAGAGATGTGACTCTCGACCATTTTCGATGTTCCTAAGGTTCCCCCTTTACCATTAAAGTTTTTGAAAAAAATTGAAAGTCAGATTTCGAGAAAATTGAACCGGTCATTTAGCTCAGTTTTCGACGCTGATTACAGTCATATAGTTTTTTTCTCATAAAAGTGTGGAAATTAAAAATTATCTTATCGCAACTTATCCTTTCATTATTCAGGCCTTAAGACATGTTAGCAAAGAATAAAACTAATGTTACTTTGTAGAAAGTTGAATACTGTTTCACAAAATGTGTTTTAGAAAAAAGACGAAAATTGTTTAGTATCGGAAAACTAATAATTAAGTTTCATCAACTGTTTTGTTTAAACTAATCAAACATGTGCGAAGTTCTGATTGAAAAGTGGATCAAAACATAATTTATCGTGCTCTATTCAAAAGATCGATAAAAACGCTTCGGACTTTTATAATCACACAACTTCAAGCGTCCTTTCTCATAAGGAAAAAACATGTCTGATAAAGGAGCTACGTTTGAAAGAGGATGGACATAGCAAGAGCTTTTTTCTTGTACTGTTTTCTATATAGATAGTTTTCTACCCAAACTTTCTTCGATGCTGCTGAGCAGCGATCCATGATTGAAGATTCGGCAATCACTTTTGCATCGTACGTTAGATAGAAAAGAACTTCAGACTACATATACAGTTTACAGAATGCTTTGTCGAAACTTGAATGCAGCTGAAATATTTATTTTAAAAATCCTCCTTCGGCCACAGTAAGTATCGTTTGCTTGACAGATGAACATGTCAAAAGCCAATATAAAAAATATTTTTCTTAGGGATACCGTTAAAAATATGAACGGTGAATTTTTGATCGATGAAGTGACTCACCATTCATCGGTGGTTTAATTGGCTTCTTTATATTCATCGTTCATAGAAATTGGAAAGTGAATGCAACAATAAAGAAAGAACAGGTCAAAAAGTATGAATTATATTGTTAGAAACACTATATAACTACTCATTTGTTCCCTATGCAAATGAAAGGAATCGATTATTAGATAAGTTATCAGTTATGAGAAAAGTGTTTGAAATTATTTTAGCCGTTTTGTCTAATCTTCTGTTTTTCTAATTAAGTATTTGATTTTAAAGTGATTACATAACCGAATACTTGGAGTCAACTGTCCTCCGCAACATCCCTTAATCTAAACTAGTGTGATAATACATCACTTATCAACTTTATCGATATTCCATGTTGACTACAACGAATTGTTTATTAATACATAAAGGTGTAGGAAATTGTTTCACTTTCTCATTATTTCTATTCAAGCATACTGCTCAATGAATGTACAGTTTAGATTTTCAGAAATTCCTTCGATTAGGAATGCATCAGGAGTTCGATACTATTTTCAAATGGATTTACGAGATAGTCAACTATTTCGTTGAGTAGAAGAAACTTCAATATCTTCTAATAGAATCGAGTAAAAATGATGAAAACATCGATTGTGAGATATGCTGAACACAATGGCATTGTCTAACAGCCCAGAACTTTTGGAATTTTACATTCGATTTTCTGAAGGATTCCTGGAAACCTGACGTACATCTTTTTTTTCTTGCTTTGATTTCGTATTCTGATAGACTATGGAAAACTGCATCGAACAGTATATATGATTTCTTGGCACCAGATCGTCTTACAGTAGTAAAAAAATCTGACAAAAAGTTGGATTACCCATTTTTAAAAACATTTTCGTTCATTTCCAATAATGAACAAAAGCAAATATTTTTGGTGACATTGATATGTCTTAGAGAATAAAATCTAATGTTTTCATGTGAAGAAAGAATGGTATTCTGAAATCCATCGATCAGTAATGTGCACTTTCCAGCATCATAACATAGTCTTTTTCCAATTTTACTGTTAGAAAATAGTCCTAATAACTCCCTGACATATTCCTAATTGAAAGAAATCAAAAGAAATTGTGGACAAAGAAAACGGCCTTTTCGAGACATATCCTTTTTAAAATAAGCAAGAAATCTTTCTAAAGACAGTTCTTACCTGTATCTGGAAATTTGTTGATCGTGATACAATTGTTTTATTTCTTATTAGAGTTGCAAATACTCGAAATCTTCTTTTCTTTTCGTTTCTATTTTGTTTGCTTTCTCATTTAGATAAAATCATTAGAGCTGCGACAAATAGCGATTTTCTTGTCTTTTCTTTTTCACGTTATATATATGCTATAGAGCACTAGCAGATAAGAAGATATCTCATTCCACATAAAATATTCCATGTGCGGACATTTTTTGTCTCAGTGCGTCGATAAAAAAGAAAGAGAACAGAAAGATATGCATGTGCAAAAAGAGATATCTTCTTATTTGCTAGTGCTGTAGTGTGTACGAATGTTATATAACATTCGTACACACTATATATGATGTGAATAAGAAAAAAATCGCTATTTGTCTGTCACAGCTGTATTAGATCAGATTGAAATAGTGCTGTTTTTCAAGACGATCATCATTAGGGGTGATACAAATAGTATGAGTGAATAAATGACTGCGACTTCTCGTATGCTCGCATATATCAGTTATTTTTTGTTTTCTTTCTTCTTTTTCTGTTCTTCAGTCGAGCGGCCACCTTTTTCTCTTTCGTTGTATATATAAACATATCTGCTTACTGTATTGTCTATGTTCTTACAAGATTCTTATTGTTTGCCATCTCAAACAGGCTTATCTTGATTGTATAGAGTGGTGTGGGGTGAAGGAGTTACTTTTTAAAATTTTGTAGGGTAATATATATATATATATGTTATGGCCCAACTTAGAAATCAGCCCAATTCAGAATTTGTCCAGACCAAATTAGAATTCCAATTTGGACTAGACGAAATTGGAATCATTTTTCAATGAGTGAAAAATAATAAAGAAAGACATAATTAAAATACTAACAACTATTTTATTTTACAAAACTTTTTAACAAATATTATATAAATCCTAAATTAAGTTCATCCATGTTTGAACATGCACCTCTTTTTTGAATGAGGGGATATGTGTCGAGTGGGTGGGGTGTGGATGTGTGATTTAACAGAAGGCCTAACCTACACATACCCAGACCCACACGCACACGCCGACCCACAATCCACACTCGCATTCACTCTATATATACTGGTTATTTCTTCAACCACTTTTTCTTTGTTCATCAATAGTTATTGAGATTGTACCTCTTTTCATTCATTGAAAAATTATTCCAATTTCGTCTAGCCGAAATTAGAATTCTAATTTCGTTCATAACCATTGCAGTCGAAATTAGAATTTCAATTTCATCTAGTCCAAATTGGAATTCTAATTTGGTCTGGACGAATTCTGAATTGGGCTGATTTCTAAGTTGGGCCATAACATATATATAGTCCGTCTAATCTTTCTAATGGTTATACTTCAGTTAAAGTGCAACCAAAACATCCGAAATTTTCATCATAAATTATTCTTATCGAGTTCTTAATATATACAAAGTTTCAGATCAAGATTCGAATTTTCATTTTTTCATGATCCTGAGAGGGACCACGGCATAACTGAAGTACGACCATTAGAAAGATTAGACAGACTATATATATTATCCTGTAAAATTTTAAAAAGTAACTCCTTCACCATCTTTCACTGTCATGTTCAAATGAGCTGAAATTTTGAGTTTAGAGGTTTTTCGACACGCGCTTTCATCTGAAACACTTAAATAGAGCATTTGAAAATAAATTGTCAATCTGCATATGGAGAGTCAGGGCCCAAATTTGACTTTCATAGTCTTGTTCAGAAAAACTTTTTCCATCAAAATTCAATGTCACAAACTTTTGAAAACGCCACTCGATACAGTTTGATGGGCTCTTTCAAATGAAACTACTTTCGAGTTGGTCTATCACGCTGATGTGGCCAACTCGTCTTATCTATGGAACCATGCCTTCCTTCTGGGAATAGTATATAGTACCATCCAATAAATATTAGAGGATAAGATACTTTCAATACCATGAAAAGATAGCCAATCATGGACAGTATCTATGGTAAAAAAGTCTCTGTTATAACTCTTGTCGTTCTTTAGAAAATGAAATTTTACTGGCAAGTATTGCATTGTGAGATACTCCAAATGGGACCCACACCCTCATACTTGTATCGCCTATATCTTTAGAATGGCTCATCCGTTTGAGCTGAAATTTTGGGTTTCTTCCTAACTACGTTAGGTCTACCAACTATGAAAATATCAGCCAAATCGGTGATATCGACTGTGCAACGTTGTCAATAAATGG